TCGCTCAGTGAATCCCCGGATTCCGACATCACCCCAATTTTGACACCCACCTCAAACGACTACCGAAATTTGGCGCAAAGTACCCACGAACGACTTCACAAGTGGTACACAACCTCCACCCTGGATTCAGAATATACTTCCCAAATCATTAAAGGGCAAGAATGATGTGACATATTCAGTCGATTTGGCTAGCCAGGACCCGCCATGCTGGCATGCGGCCGTCCTTATCATATATTATTTGACATTACTGATTTCGGTGGATTATCCTGAGGTGATGGCTGGTTGGTATTCGTTCACGTAGTGGTAGATGACAAACACAGGATAAGCTAACATGCATGAATTAGAAATACGTACCGACCCGATGGGAGCGCCAAATACGGGCGCGGCCTACCGAGCCTGCCAACAAGCTACCGACGAGATGGGCATACTTTTAGAAAGCCTCCTGAGCGTGGACGATACGCTGACACATATTGCATCTGGGACGATTCTTCCTGTTTTTCTTTCTGGACTGGTATGATCCGAAAAACTAACCTGTGTATCAGATTGGATCCCCACTTCCTAACCTATGAACAAAAAAACAAAATCCAGTGCGCAGTAATATTCCTCAAACTCTCCCCACGAGCCGAAACGTACCTCTCGATGCAAAACCATCTCCGAGCACTCGCACTACACGCAAAAACCTATGTCGTTGCCGCGAAACTACATTCCCAACTTTGCCACATGGTTCAAAGCTTACTCGACAAAACTGTGCTGGACACGCACGAGTTGCATGGCGCACGCGGTGCATTAGTAGAGTTGGAAGATCAAGGACAATGGGGACCCGTCATCGGACTGGGTATCCTTGGAAAGGAGCAACTTGGCAAAGACAGCGGAGTGGATACCAGTGGGGGAATGGCTGATCATGTACTTGCCAAATGTTTGAGGGAGTTCAGCCCGGGCACCACTGATACTCTTCTTTTCTCGCCTACTGAATATCAGAACGATTCGCGTACATCTCAATACGTATCTTCCCACGATTCGTCCAACGATTCCAGCAAATCGCCACCATCTGAATACCCGCCTGATTCGACATCCACATGGACAGGCTACAACCATTCACCCTCATCGTACACCATGGATAATTACACACCGGGCGTGAATTGGGTATCAGATCCTAATGGTGCCGCGTATAGGGGCTTGAATACTCGACATGAGGACGGAGTATACGACCCACCACCGGAAATGAACATGTCGACGTCGTCTTTTGGGGCGAACAAGTCGAATGATGCGACTTCTGGATATAATGATAGCATGGATGGTCTGTGGGAGTCACAAACCAATTGACAAGTCATAAATTCTGTATCTACTCACGGCATCACTTGAATGCTTTTTAGAATGAATAACTGCTGGGCCAATAGTTTAGGCTTATGCTAGGATTTTTTGAAATATAAATGCATTTTAGGAATTGCAAATGGTTGGATATTTACATGTGTGTGTTCATAAAAGGAGTGATAGAGAAAATCTAGAATATGGCTTTGCACTGCTCAACCCCACTCTACAGGTGGATCCAAGTTCTTCCATCCTTCTGGCGGGGGAGGACGCAAGCTAGGCGGCACCTTATCCAAAGAAGGAAACCCCGCCGGAAGTTTACAAAAAGCCCTTGTTGGCTGTACGTAAGGTATCCACTCTATAAAAACCCCACCTCAGAAAATCCCGCACACAACACGAAAATTGCGGACTGCACATACCTCCAATTTCACCAACGCTAACTCCAAATGTCCCATACGCAGCATAATGAATCTTGACCATTCTTTGATGTTGTGTTCCCTTTAGATGCTGTATATAATGTCAGTATGATGCCCAAACATGTTGCAGCACGGTCCATTTGATGTACCACCTTTTCTCGAGATGCGGGTGTGTCGGTGAAGGACCTGTCACAGTAATCGCAATAATCTATATAATCTAAGTCGGGGGGAACTACATGCGCCCAAGAGAAAGAACATGTACATACAATTTCGTGTCATGTTCATTCGCAAGGCCAAAACTAGCGATAACGTTGTAAACTGGGCAAGCACTTACGAGATGATGATACAAATTCCAGTGTTTCAAACCAGTTTAGCCCAAATGTTTATATTCGATTCAAATCCATTTACTCATTGCATTTGAAAAGCACGCCAATGAAACCCAGCCGTGGAAGGGTGTTGTCCCCACCTGTGGCTATTCTTGCAAGTGTGTGTTTTTTTTTAGGTTTTTTTTTTGTGGTGGTATTCCTCGCTCGGGCTTGTACACGTCGTATTTTTAATACCGACGGGGCATATAAGCATCTCGACTACATTGGTTTTACTTGCACAAGCATCGTACAACACTACAACAACAAACATGGCTAGCACTTCTTTTGATCGCTGCAAGATCTTGGATAATATCCTTGAGCATATTGGGGGTACGCCCATGGTGCGTTTGAACAGGGTAACAAAGGACGCTGGTTTGGAATGTGATTTGGGTGAGTATTTTTGATTGTTTCGGCATCTTTTGTGGTACTAGTTTGGCTGAGATTGAGAATGTATTTTTAAGTGGCCAAATGCGAGTTTTTTAACGCGGGTGGGTCAGTTAAGGATCGTATTGCCAAGAGGATGGTGGAAGCTGCTGAACGGGATGGAAAGTTGAAGGTATGTTGAGAGAGGCCATTTTGTGTGGTCTGTTGATGAAATAATGGGAAAAATCACTCATTGTATTTGTGGATTTATTTTTTTAGCCCGGATATACGCTCATCGAACCTACTTCTGGCAACACAGGAATTGGTCTTGCCCTTGCCGCCGCGGTGAAAGGCTACCGCGCCATCATCACACTTCCTGAAAAAATGTCTCAAGAGAAAGTCGACGTTCTTAAAGCCCTTGGCGCGGAAATCATTCGTACACCTACTGAAGCAGCGTGGGATGCCCCCGATTCGCACATTGGCGTGGCGAGACGGTTGAACGCTGAAATCAAAGAATCTCTTATCCCAGATCAGTATACGAACCCGAATAACCCATTGGCGCATTATGAGGGAACAGCGGAGGAGATTATTGCTCAGTGCGGGGGACAGGTGGATATGTTTGTGGCAAGTGCTGGGACGGGAGGCACGATTGCTGGAGTCGCGAAAAAGCTGAAAGAAAAGTTTCCGAATGTGAAGGTTGTCGGGATTGACCCGAATGGCTCCATTCTTGCTCAACCAGAGGCCTTGAACAAGGAAGGAATCCATTCTTACCAGGTGGAGGGTATTGGCTATGATTTTGTCCCCGAAGTGCTGGATCGACAGTATGTGGACGAATGGATCAAGACAGATGACAGAGAGTCCTTTTTGATGGCTCGCAGACTGATTCGCGAAGAGGGATTGCTCTGTGGTGGATCATCAGGAGCTGCTGTCGTCGGAGCTATCAAAGCTGCCAAGAGTTTGAAACCTGGACAACGCTGCGTGGTCCTCTTGGCTGACTCTATCCGGAACTACATGACAAAACACTTGAATGAAGATTGGATGAAATCTCACGGCTTTATCGATGCCACGACCGAAAAGATTGAGGCAGACAAGAAATCCCAATGGGGTGGTGCAACCATTAAAGGATTGAATCTCCCGGTCGCTGTCACAGTCCCTGAAACGACCACCTGTCGCGAGGCAGCCCAAGTTATGCAATCTCGTGGATTTGACCAGCTCCCCGTCACCTCTTCGACATCAAGTAAGCTTGTTGGATTGGTAACTCTAGGAAACCTCCTCGCCAAAGTCGCCTCTGGGCGCGCCAGACTTGAAGATCCCGTAACAAAAGCCATGTTTACATTTAAACAAAACAAGAAATTCACGGAATTCACTGTAGAGACGCCCCTGGAGAGTTTGAGCAGATTCTTTGAAACAAACTCGTCAGCGATCGTTACAGAGAACGTGAGTGGGGAGCTACAGGTTCGGCATGTGGTGACCAAGGTGGATTTGTTGGGGTACTTGATTCATCATTCTGGAGTAGAGGCTGTAGGGACTCGATAGGAGCAAACAGTAGTCTAGATGATACAAGATCATGTTAGAAAAAAATTATGTTTTGTGTAGCTAGCTTGCAATACAGAATAGCGTCTGATTCCCATTCAAACACAAGAGTTTTTGTTGTAATCCAGATTTTAGCAATCACCCGATATCACATTCACAAATTTCATACACAAGATCATATATCCCTAAAACAAAAAGCCGACTCCTATATTCACATAACCCAATTAAAAAAATACACAAAATAAAATCACGCAGCAGAGGCTTTAGTCGGCGAATTTGGCGGCGTGTTCAAAGCCTCATTCGATTTTTTTGATGAGGATAAAGCATTTCTGGACCTGAACATGTGTTTCAACCAATGTTTTAGTCTCCGTTTACGATGGCGGGGATTTGGTGATGCCTATAATGAATAATGTCAATCGTTTTACATTTCGAGAAGAAGAAAAAACGAATAGCACATACGTCGTCTGGAACAATCACAGAGGGATCAACGTCGTAAGCGAAACACCAAGAAAGGCATGCGGAGAACGCTTTGTGGTTAGAAAAATAGTTTGGATAGTCTCATGAATGTCGCTCAAAAAAACCACAAACGTTGAAAAAGAGGGACGAAAAGGAAATTCATCCCACCCTCCCAAGAAAAAACAAAACAAAAAACAAAAAGAAATACCAACCTGTCGATTGGGCAACATTCGTTTCACTCCCTCCTTCCACCTTTCCAATCCGCTCCAACTCCTCTTCAATCTCATCAGCAAACAATTCTTCCAAATACGGAATTAAAGTCGTTTCGCATGGCGTAAACTGCGTGGTAGGATGGTTCCCTTGTTCCTTTTCCTTTTGGTCCTTTGATTTCGTTGGTGATGGGGTGCTTTTTGATGATTCGGTGGGAGTGGAGGGATCTGCGTGCGTTGGGTAAGTTAGGATGGGTGGAGGGGGTTTGAGGGATTCGTGAAAAAAGGTGCGTGTCCAAGGATGGGAGAGGATTTGGTCGGTTGTTAGGCGGTGTGCGGGGTTTTTACGAAGCATGCCTAGTTTTAAACAAAATGATCGTAGATATTAATGAGGTGATTCAAAAGTGGATATCACAAATAAAAACATGCCATAAAGCAAATCCTTTAGATCGTCATCAAACCCGCTTGGCATGTCAAATTCCCCTGCCATGATCTTTTCGTATAGTACGAGTAGATTGCCATCTTCGTCGAATTCAAATGGATATCGTCCTGTTAGCATGTTGTATCTGGTCAACAAGAAAAAACAAACGTTAGAAATGATGAGATGGCAAAAACCGTTTGCGAGAAATCAACTTACAGTGTGATACCACATGCCCATACGTCCACTGCGATGAATAACTAGCTGTTAAACCAAAAGAACGAGATGCAACTGCAAATGCAAAAATAACCGCTCGAACCTTTTTCCCCAGAAAACGAGAGAGCTCCTTCCGCAATTTCAGGCGAAAGGAACTGATGGGTCCCAGCAAACGACGTTACGTTCATTGGTGATCCATCGTACCCCGAAAATTGCTAATCTCAAAAAAGAATTCGATCAATAAAAGAGTAACCGACATATTATGTTTAAAAAAAGAGATATCCGTACCTCGGCAATCCCGAAATCGGATATTTTCAGCACGTTGTCGGGTGTGATAAGCATGTTGCCTGGTTTGATATCCCGATCTGTATTTGTTTTGTGGTGATGTACATTATTATTCAATTGAGCTTTGAAGGATGGTTGAAATATTCTGATTTGAAAACTTTTGGTACATACGTATAACTCCTTGAGAATGAAGGTAACTCAATCCTTCCATAAGTTGTACGAAATACCTGCCATGTTCATCAGAATTTCAACTCAATATGCACCAAACAATGAACGAAACCTCACCACTTACCAATGCGCCCTTGGAACCGGCAACCGATTCCCGTCGGATTGCTCCAGCAATACCTGGAGCGAACAAGGACAATACTCAAACACCAGGTACCACTTTAAAATCTCCACACTACGATCATCTGCGGTTCCATCCTCAAAGCGCCAGGTAATGGGTTCTTCTTCAATGGTCGAAAACCAGTTGAATACTGCAACGTTGCTGTCTTCATCTTCTACTTTGCAGTAGACGTCGATGAGAGTTATCGTGTTACGGTGCTTTAGTCGACGCAGGAGCTTGATTTCTCTAATTGAATTTTCCGTTTCGTTTAGAATGAAAAACGAATCTGAAAACGTTTGCATAAATGCGAACCTTATAACACCCTCTATACCTCCCTGCATCTTCCTCAACCGCTTTTTATTTATAATCTTGACTGCAACGCGTTGAAGCGTTTCGGAGCATAGCCCTTCCTTGACTTTTCCAAACGATCCTTTCCCAATTTGATCGCCAAGGAGATATCTCCCAATCATCTTCACCTGTGCCGCTTCATTTTTCCATACTACTTCCGATGAATCGATCTTGTGTATGAAATTGGAGCTTGCGTGTCGTTGACAAAGCATGAGGTATTCATAATAGTCGGGATTATTCCGATAGCTATCGTCAATGTCACCAACGACAGATATGGGTCGACTTTCGAATATTCCTGGGGAAGGAGAACGCGGTTGATGGTGGGATTCGTCGGTGGAGAGGATTCGTGTATCCTCCAAGGGTTGCTCTAAAGCTTGAGGATATTTATCAGCGTCCGGGACTTCGGGGATATCGGATTCAGATGGTGGACGAAGGGACGAGCGTTTTGACCCGCCGGCGGCGAGTCCACTTGATGCCGAAGCTGGTGCGGATCCATAGGGAGTGGAAACATATCCTGTTGACGCATGTCGGAATGCTCGTCCAGTCGATCCTATCTTGTCTTGGGCTTCGCGTTTACTGGCCAAGCTTCGAGCGCTTGCGCTAGCTGCTAGTGCTCCTACACTAGCGCTGACTGACAATCCACTCCTCAAGCTGGTTGAAGCGGCGCGCATGCCAGCTGCACCCTTTACGTTGCTGTATGAAGCAACCCTACCCATACTTCCTACCCTGTTAGTGTTAACGGAGGCGACGCTTCCGTGTCTTGAAGACCCTTTGGTCAAAGAGCTGGTCGAAGTCATTAGAACCTCTTTACGAGGATACATAAGAATGGTGGGCCGCTCGGAATTTGGAACGGAAAATTCACTTGACGCAGCAAGAGCGGCGGCAACCTCGGATACGACGCTGGACCGAGCGCTACTGCTTTTGAATATTCCTAATTGGCTCACATCCACAGCTGACATTCGCTTTTGGACTGAGTTGACCATTGCAGCTTTTCCCTGAAATGTGGGCCGTCTGGATGAGTTGTTGCTCCGGGATCCATGCTGTCCGCCATGTGTCTGTGAGACTTCCCGTCGACTATCTGTCTCAGAGACCGAAGAAGTTCTCGTTGTCCCGATGCCAGGTCCAGCAATGACAAAATCCACTCTGGTAATATCCGGTGCTGAGAGGATCGCCTTTTGATTCAACACGAGTCCTTGTTCGGATCGAAAGGACTGCCCTCCCAGAATAGTAGGGAGGGAAACCATCTTGCGATGGGCGTGGCCAGCAGTCCCATCGTTCGCTTCTCCCATCGTTCGCGTCCTACCAGTGCGGACTTGGGGATGAGGCAAGCTATATTTGGTTTTTTGGGGAAGCGCGTATTTACCCCGCTTCGGGTGATTCTATGTGGGGTTTTTGAGGTTAGGGTGACTGAACTTTTGTAGTGATAGTCCAAGTTACTGAAGGCCCGTATTCTCTTGAATAATCATCACCAAAGTGTAAGACTGGGTAGGTATTTTCTTCAAGGGTATCGTCGCGATCAGAAGCCCCGTTACCCCGGAAATTTTCAAAGAGAACCTTTCCTGAGAATAGCTCAACACTTCGCTTGCCAATATATGGATCCTTCTTAACAGTACACTCTCTTTATGTCAGTGCATTAGTTGTTAACCCTGCTATATTCGCTGTGTTTGACATATTGCACCTTTGCTCATCGTCCAGTTCCGACTGTTTATGTAAGCCAACTCGCCTGATTGGCCAAATTATATGACGTTGCCTTTCTTTATTTTTGACTTTCGCTGCAATCTTACATTCATTGCAATTGCTCCATTCACGAGCAAGTATGAGGAAAAAGACACATTGGCGGAAGACCCCAAACCCTTCCAAACTTGCCCCCCACGAAGAGGAACAAGATGTTTTTCTTTCAGACGAGGACATGGGCCTCCTGGAGGAGTATGGCTCGTTCACAAGCTTCTTGACAAACCTCAATCCAGAAGAGCTGACTCGCAATGAGGTCTTGGAAGGACCGGACGCCATAATGCGGGCCAAAGGAAAATTTCGCATATCTACTGGCGAGTCCGTCTCTGACATTGACGAACAGGATCATTCTGACTTAGAAGCGTCCTATGAGCAGCGACCGCGCCCTCTGAAGCGGGACTGGAAGGAAGAAGGAAAGACGAGATTACCAGTTAGAGGCGAAGATGGCCAGCTGAGAGCGCAACAAGTTGTTGTTATTGAAGAAGCAGGTAGGTACGTTTCTCCAAGAGCGTGGATCTTTGTTTTCGCTCTCGTACCAGGGGAACTGATAGTCAAAATCTAGACATGAAGCCGGAGGATGAAGAGAGTGATGAAGAAGTGGATCTACCACCCGTTGCCAAAAAGGAAAGGGTGGAAAAGCCAAAGGCACCGAAGAATGAATCAAACGATACTCAACCAAAGGCGCAACCAAAAAGCCGGGCCGGACGACTGGTCGACGCTCAGGAGAAATTGGCGGAGATTGCGTCGACCATCATCGAAGATCCCGAAAAGCATATCGCACATCTAAAGAATCTTCGACAAATTGGTGGTGACAAAGACGTCCAAATCAAAAAACTGGCCTTGTTGACCCAGCTCGCTGTATACAAGGATATCATCCCGGGCTACCGTATTCGTCAGTTGACGGAAGAAGAGCAAACCATGAAAGTGTCAAAGGATGTTAAACGGCTGAGGCAATATGAAGAAACCTTGCTCGCTAATTACCAAGCCTACCTTCAGATCCTTGAAAACACTGTTCAAGCGTCCCTCAAATCATCCGACTCTGACAAGGCCCTCCTCGTCATCGCAATCCAGTGCATGGCGGACCTACTCACATCTGTAACACACTTTAACTTTCGGCTCAACCTATTGACTGCGGTCGTTGCTCGTATGACTCTCAAAACCCCACCAGAAGTCGCTGTCATCTGCTGCAATGCGCTTTGTACTCTCTTTGACAATGATGAATCCGGCGAAGTGAGCCTCGAAGCGGTGAAACTTATTGCTAAGGCAATCAAAGCCAAACACTTCAATGTGCAAGAGGAGGTGCTGAGGACATTTCTACACCTAAGGTTGAACCAGGATCTTGCTGCTGGGAATGATCAGCCTGTGGAAAAGGAGCGAGGGACCAAGGACAGAGCTTCTAACAAGAGAAAAAGCACCGAGAAACACGTATCACGCAAAAAGCGAAAGATTGAAAAGCACAACAAGGAGATTGAAAAGGAGTTTAAGGAGGCTGAGGCAGTTTACGATCGAGAGGAAGTGAAGAAACGACACACGGAGACATTGAAATTTGTGTTTTTGACGTATTTTCGGATATTGAAGAACGCACAGGCATCTCCATTGCTGCCTGCTGTGTTGGAGGGGCTCGCAAGGTACATTGAGAAAGCCGTCGGTATACTCAGACCCATAGCTAAACCGTCCTCTCCGCAGATTCGCACATCTTATCAATGTCGAATTTTTTGCCGACTTGCTGAACGTTTTGAAAAGGATATCTTTTGAACAATATCAGCAATATCTTGCGGGAGATGTCGCATCAGAAGCAGACACCCGAAGTGCATTTCACTGCGTTATTGCAGCTTTTCAACTTCTCAGTGGCCAGGGTGAAGCCCTTAATCTGGACTTGAAAGACTTTTACAACTCCATGTACACACAGCTGATGCGCTTACCTATGAACCCGGAGGCAGCGCTCGCGGTAGCCGGTACAGCAGCTACGACAAAAAGGCGGGCACAAAAGGCAAAGTCATCGACGCTTGTGCATATTGAGAACCGATCGGGTAGCGAAATTGAGCTGGCGTTGCAAGGGTTCGAATTGCTCTTTTATAAGAAGCGACAGGTGAGTTATTACTTTTTCTCGATGTTGGCTTTCAGACAAGGCTCGATGATGACAATGGGATAATGACATCACTCATGATTTTGGGAGACATGATCTCCCAAATTGTTCCTACTGAGAGCTTTCAATGAGGTCGATGGGCATGTTCTTGAATTGTATACGCTGCTAATATGATGGACTCAATTAATAGGTGCCCGCCGAACGCGTAGCAGCTTTCGTTAAGCGACTTGCAATCGTGGCCCTTCATCTCCCTGCAAATGCCGTTTTAGCATGTCTGGCCATTATTCGTTCCCTCATCATCGTGAGTGATTGTTTATATTAAGTCAATAATTGCGGACAGTCTGACATTCTCCTCCTTGTTTAGCGATTCCCCCGTTTAGAGTCTCTACTGGACGCCGAAGGCCGTTTGGGAACAGGTATCTACCAACCAATGCTGGACGACCCCGAGCTTTCAAATCCCTTCGCTACCAATCTATGGGAAATGACGCTCTTTATGCAACACTATCATCCCACTGTTTCCTCTCTCGCCAAACACGTCACATCCACGATTGCTATTACCCAGAAAGGCACCGCTCATGTCACCAACGTCCACAAACCCCTCCCCAGCAATCTTGCTTTACCACCAAGAGATTTTCTCACCGCATTTGATCCCCAACCAGCGATTGTCGGAAACCCACGGTTCCATTTGGTCCCCGCGGCGGAGATACCTGGTTCCATTGCGTCGATACTGAAGAAGAAGAAGGAGAAGGGCATCAAATACGCAGACGGTCCCACCGTGGTCCTCGAAAGTAGTTTCATGGAGAATCTGAGAGAGAGCACGGCCACCACTGATGACAACAATGTGTCCCTTGCAAAGTCTTTCAGAGAGATGAAAGAAGTTGGTGAGCTGAAGGAGTTGGAGGCCGTGGCAAGCCGGTTGCGAATCATGGTGGAGCTTTTGAAGGAACATGCCGCGATGGACGACGAGCATTCAGACAGCGGGGAGGAGCCAAATGAGTTTGGTGTAGTAGATAGTCAAAGTGAGGAAGACGGTGAGGACCAACGTTTTGAGGCACCACCAGCACCTCAACAGCTTAAAAAGCGACGAAAATGTATGGGTGGAACAAAAGGTCGACCTGGGGGTGGATGGGTAGTGAAGGATGTGACAGGTAGATGATTGTATATCAAAATATCTATATAGAAGCCACTAGGTATAAGAACGCCCAACGCTGACGTGCGTTTTAAGCAATTCTAGCTGGAAAATACATCAAATGTGCTTCACCCATCCTCTGGGGACTTGGCCACGTTACCCAGTAATGATCTAATCCCGGTGATTGACCTCCGACATGATTTTGCCACCGATCTGTATCCGCCCTGTATTCTACGCCCGATTTTTGCAAGTAAATCCTTGCTAGCCTTATTCCACCTAGGATCAATGAAGAAATTTACCAAGGGGTTGAATATTCCTGGAAAGATTGATGTGGAAAAATGTTGGATTAATGCGTCGCTTTAAGATCATAGTCACATCTCTGCTCACCTGGAGACACAGCAAGGATAGAAGCGTACATGTCAAATTTATTCGATACTGGTTCGTGATTAATGCCGCTATATATCATCTTGACTGTGTTTGGCAACCACATCATCGTGAAGCAGATGACCATGATGGCGCACTTTCTTGCCACCTCTAACGGAACGCAAAGCTGTGTTCAGTGGATTATCCATGTGGCATTGTGTTCAACATGGACCTTACGAGATTCTAATTTCCCAATTCTCTGAATTGAAAGATCATTCTTTGATAGCGCAATCTTGGTCTCTGCAAGTCGACTTTGCCCGCCTATCTGCGACTCGCTCGGTCTTGATATGTCGTCCCTACTGGTGTTTGCAACCATATTTGAGTTCTGATGAGCGCTGGCACTTTGGTTCTGCGGGACACTGGCGCTAGTACTATTTCCGTCGCGTTTCTTTTTATCGTTTGTTTGGATGCCTCCCAACTTGCGGGCAGCTTTGCGTACTATGAGCCAGATCGCTGTATATGTCACTCTAAACGAATCGTCATCATTGAATAGTTGCTAGTAGACATTTTTGAATATCGCCAGGGTTTTACTTACCCTACATTCAACATTGACAGCACCGCAACCATACCGAGGATGACCGTGAGCCTCCGATTCACGACTGGATGAGGTTGCGGACGAAGCACGCTGCCCCCTGGTGAAGAGCTTCATCAATTACAATCCCTGCAATCCCTCCGTTATAAAGTTTCTGGAGAAGATACTCACAATCTGGGCAGCAATATATACCCGCTTCTTGAACAGCATACTTATTCCCACTCGCGAAGTAGATGCTAGCCAGGATAATGGACGTAACGGTACACAAAGTGATCCCACAGCCGGTAAGTAGTCCGGTCCACTTTTTGCCCATCAGAATGGTGTGGCTGCGCTCTTGAGTAAGAAGACCAATGCCGAGGATTGAGATGAAGCCCCCCACGCAACTCATGAATCCCTGAAATTGACACCAGCTGTCTGATAGACGCCTGCCAAGATGTAAATAAGCCATATGTAACTGGTAGCATTGGATATTTAAGAGAGTACCATTTTCCGGACCGTAGCATGTCCAATACGGCGCCAAGTTGAAAAACATTCCTGTTAGAGCAAGTTGTTAGGATGCGGATGACTAGAAATGGCTACCGATTCACGAACGAATACTTGCAAAAATAAGTCTCCAATGCCAATGTAAAAGATAATCCAGTTGTGCCATTTTGTCGCCCCTGTCCGTAAATCTGACGATGTGATGAATAGGGTGAAATTGAAGATTGCAATCAAGAGAGCCCCGGAATGCAGGATGACACCAATGGAATCGTGGGTTTTTTGAAGCGAGGTCAAAGTGCGCTCGTATGGTATGCCGATCCAGTCTGTTGCATCAGCCATGCTGAAATTTGGTGGTCTGAACGAGAAAGGAATTGGGAACTAGGAATTCGGAACGAGTGGGGTTGTCTGTAGCTTATGGCCATTCAATGGTGTCGTGACTTTCGAAATATTTTGTTGGTACGACCGGCAGAAGTCATTTAGCTGCACGTTACCATTACTTTCTGCATCCGTCAGCCGAGAACCAAATGTCAGGGATATCTATGAATAGTTACCTTCAGTCCAAGAATAGGCGAAAACACGTTTCAGACACTCAGCGACAGTTGGGCCAAGAATTCTGCAAAAACGAGAAATATTTGGGTCTCGAGGATCTTCAAAATAGGCAGTACAAGCAGAACGTCCCTTATTGCTTTTCGGGAGTTCCCATTAATGACGACTTTTAGACATTTCAATGTTTCGCGAGATTGGCTGGCTAACATTCCAAATAGACGGAAAGGGATGTGGATGATGACCCTTAATTATGTTTTATTTCTGAAGGCGCTAAAAGCGATTTCAGTGCAATTGTCCCTCGGGTAGCGCATCGCATTCCCGTGGACTACCTCGGAGACACTCGTGACATTAAACTGCCTCCCGACCAAGTGCAACAATGTACCTTTGAACAAACATACGCTTCATTATGCACTAAATAACTTGGTCTACTCTCGTTTAAAAAAACTTTTAGGAACAAAGAATTTCTCCTATATTGCCCTTACTCTCACTGTTCTATCATTGGTTCTCTATTATCTTTGATCTACTATACTACCAAATAGGCCCGAACCATCCACATTCATTCATACTTGAAATAGTTTGCAATGTGGCAGCTGTGTGAATTCACCAACTGGTTCGCAGTAAAATCCAAATGTTCATTACTGCAAGTCTTGCTGGTCGGAGTTGTCTTACGAAAGATCACGGGGATGATAAAGTAATGAGTGTCCGTCATCTGCCCCATTTCCGTGTTCGGATCGCGCACGGGACTCTTTCACTCAATAAGGTTGACCCTTTTTTAGGGGAGGGTTGAGGTTTCTACTCGCAAACAGGCGGCAGGTCAGCCGTTGCAATGCACGTTGAAAACCAAGCATTTCGACGACGTTGTTTTGCTTTCCGCCTTGTCCGCCAGGCGCTGTGCTTCACAAAGGCTTTTGGGGCCGCGGCAAACCGTCCATCAAACCATGAAAACGTCACCACAACACATGCAATGCATCCAGGTTCCAGCATAGAGTAGGAGGCACAGCCATAAATAGAATTTGGAATGCATCCGGGTCCATAAGAAGCAAACCAATTAGTCATCCCTAAACCAGACTGTCCCAATATGCAGTCAAGATAACACTAGTTTCCCTCCACATCATCCCAGCCAGACAGCCTTATTTGCGGAACGGAAACAAGCCAGGACGGACCTACTGCACTCTCTTGCGCATCGCAGTTTGAAAAGGTGCGCGGAATCTACTTGAAAGGAGACTTAATTGGGCTGCCACCGAGACATTCCGCTTGAAATTGTTCTCCAGACCGACTCCGCTGCGGCGTTGTAAACTGCTCGGATATTCTCCTGATATAAACTGCTTGAACTCTGCCCACCCCCTGGGCATTTTACTGGGGAAATACAGCACCAATCCTGGCGTCCGCAGGTTCCGGCGGCCAAAAGCGCAGATATCAGGAAAACGACTCGGAGGACATCGGTTCGCCGGAGCTTAATTCCGGAACCGATTTCGCTGCCTCCAGCGCTTTCAGCGCTGTTGGACAGTCGGGTACGCGTGAAAGCAAACGCATGAGACTTGACGGCAGTGAGGACATCCTGGGAGAGCCGGCTGACATGAAGATCAACGCAGTATCACCTACTGGCGCCGCAAATGGGTATTTGCGTGGGGAGGCAGTTAGTAACGGGAAGGCAAGAGGGCTGCCAAAGAGTCAAAGACAAGAGGAATTGGTGCGCCTTATAATCCAGTCGCTGCAAGATTTAGGCCTCAGGTAAGCAGCTAGCATCAGGACGCCTGAGCCTGGAGAACTTCCGCACCCGATCAACTGAACATGTGGTCACAACTCTCAATATTGTAGAGATTCTGCAGAAACAGTTCAACGTGAATCCGGATACAGCCTGGAGTCACCAGCTGTAAGCCAATTTCGCCAAGGAGTGCTGTCAGGAAGCTGGGAAGCAGTGGAAGATCTATTGCCGATCTTGGATATTGACGCACAAGACTTTCAGGTGGAGTCCAAGTCAGCACGCGGCTAGACTTTGTAAATCAAATGTCAACTTATAATTGTATCTTTTCAAAAGACCATCAAGTTTCTCATCCGCGAGCAGAAATACTTGGAGTTATTAGAGCAGCAAAAAACGAAGAAAGCGTTGGCTGTCTTACGGCAAGAATTGGCGCCTATAAACATCAATTTACACAGGCTTCATGAGCTTTCGAGGTACGAATGATAATGGATTCTGGTGGATACTCCACGCTAACTCAGAGTCAACCAAAGCTTCATTATGTGCACTGATATCGACACACTGCGATCAAAAGCAAACTGGGACGGAGCTGACGGAAAGTCGCGTGCAATACTTTTAAGCAAACTGCAAAGTAAGCCAACAATGGACGAGCGAATATGCACTATACCTTAACTTTTCCGTTGTTGTACACTCAGAACATATCCCTTCTGCTATAATGATACCGGAGCGTCGTCTCGATATTCTACTGGATCAAGCGATCCAATTACAAAAGATGAACTGCCTGTATCACAACGTGTCCGAGGAGTCGACCTCGTTGTACGTGGACCATTCTTGTGATAGGTACCTAATTAACACAGTTCAAAGGTTACACTTTCTACAAAGGATTCACTTTATGTGCCACAGGAACCGATTTCCGTGCATCACAACTCACATCTTTGAAGAGCACGCCGATGAAGTCTGGTTCCTTGCATTTTCTCATGACGGCAATTATCTGGCTTCGGCTTCAAAGGATATGACCGCGGTTATTTGGAGTGTGGGGGTGAGTCTTCTTTTTGTGATCAACCAATGGCACTTGACTGACGTCCCATAAAAGGAATGGAAACTAGTCCACATTCTGGCCGGACATACAAATGCAATTTCGTTTCTGGCATGGAGTCCGGATGACAGTTTGCTTTTGACCGGGTCCAACGATAATTCGCTCAAAGTTTGGGATCCCAAAGTACGTTGGCTTATATTACGGCATAGGAGGCAAACCTATTTACTCAACATTTTCCTCATTTTTAGACGGGAGGCTGCATAAGCACCTTCTCTCGACATACAGACACGGTGACATCTTGCGCCTGGCTTCCAGATGGGAAGCATTTCGTTTCCGGGAGCGTCGACAAACACATTTACCTGTGGAATCTCGAGGGCGAACTTGTGCACAAATGGTCTGGGGTACGCGTGACAGATCTGGCGGTGGCCAAGGACGGAAATATTATGCTAGCCATATCTGAGAAGAAGATTCGAATCTATAATTTGCTGGATAAATCTGAGATTGGGTATGTTTCGTACGTCTTGACGTTTGACCTATAGCTTTTTAACTGATGGATATTGCGGGTTTATAAAGTGCGCTCCCCGAAACAGATTCTATCACGTCCGTGAGTATTGCCGATGACTGTCAGCATGTGTTGGTCAATCTCTCGATACAGGTACGATGTGGTAGTATGAAGACGCCTTGTGTCCGTCCGAAAACTCACACTCCATTCCAGGAGGTTCATTTGTGGGACCTGGAAGAAAAGCGTCTCGTCCGCAAATATGTTGGTCAAAAACAGGGACGATTTGTCATTAGATCATGTTTTGGTGGACTTCATCAAAATTTTGTTCTGAGTGGGAGCGAAGGTATTCCAACACTTTCATCAATCATATTCTGGCAGTGGTTCGTTGACTATCATTCCATTGTGTAGACTCGCTAGTGTACGTGTGGCATCGAGAACGCGGGGTTCTGATCGAATCATTACCTGGCCATACAGGTACGGGCAAAACGCCATACTGAGATTACCACTACATGCTCACCTCATGCTATTGTGCTGTAGGTTGCGTCAATTGCGTTAGTTGGAATCCGAAACGGAATATGTTTGCCTCCGCATCAGACGATCACACAATACGAGTCTGGGGCCTAGCACCAGGCAATGCTTAATAGCTCTGCGATCTTCACCATTCTGCCTTAGTATAACTATCCCTCCCCTTTTTCTTGTGTATATGGTAGCGGCTTTTGAATATACGCTTTTTTCACCTAATGGAATGAAAGCGAGCTCCTGCGCTATTGCTGAGTGATGCACTACATCAATCTTGATCACTAAAATGCGTTACTGACGCGCAGTCTGGGTACTAATGAAAGTATAAAAATCAATTGAGCTCCCTATCCATATACAAGAACACTCCACCCTCCATGGTCCCAATTTAAGCCGTAGCAACTGGGGCTTCGACACTCTGTTCGACGGGGGCGGCAGTGGGAAGAGCGATGGGGGCAGGCACAGGGATGTCCTCCTCCTTTGGCTATATATGGACGGATGCTGTTAACCTTTGGATAGACGCAAGCTTTGGAAATTCAGAAATTCCTTTACCTCCAAGATGGTGACGTTGTCGGGAAGTGGCTTCTTGGGTCCGACCTTTCCTGTGGGGTCCCATTCGAGCATGATCTTCACCCGAATACCCAAGACACCTTGACGCAAGAGAACGTGGCGGGTAGCGTTGTCAATGTAGTCGCGGGTGGGTTGACCAGAGTGAATCTGTTACAAAATGAATGAGTTAATTGTATTGACCTCATCAATATCCACTTTCCAAACTCACCATGAAGCCGTCCACGAACTTCATAGACTTTGCACGGGCACCACGGAGCTTACCAGATACAACAACTTCGCAACCTTTGGCACCGGACTCCATAATAAAACGGACGACACCGTAGCAAGCCCTGTATAGAGACGATCATATCAATATCACATGCCTGTCCAGTACCGTAGTCGAAATACCCACCTCCGCACAGCCAAACCACCAAGAAGCTTGTAGCGGAGAGACTCGGCCTGAGCGATGGCGCAAAGACCACGGTTGTTAACTTTCTCCGCGTAGAGCTCGACAGTGTTCTCAGGGAAGTTGAACCTCTTCTGGACGACAGAGGTCAACTCGCGGATACGGCGACCCTTCTCACCAAGAACGTTCTGGGTACGAGTAGCCCGGATAATGATCTCGGTACGGGCAGGGGTGACGCGGACCTCAACACCTGAGTAACCTTCCTCGGCCAACTCACGAGTAAGGAACTCGTTGAGTTCGGCGAAGAAAACACCGTCGGCTACGAACTACGGTTAACGGGAGGGACGGCGTCAGAATGTGGTTTAGATGAATTGCAAATCGGGATTCACTGTCATGACGTGATCCTCCCTCACACATAGTTTCTATCCATCCATCCAGCCTATGCTCCATCCATCCATCCATCAGCACTCATCCACCAGCCTCATAATCCATCATTCAGCATCGCTCCCTTCTGCCATTCTCGGGTCTGCCATAGTTCCGCCCATATCCTTGTCTCTCCCTATTTTTCGCAGTTAACCGAACCATGCAGGCATGGTACCTCAACATCCTTTGATCAGCATTTGCCGACATCTTCCAGCCCCCCGTCGCAGAGATCCTCTGGCCAAAACGCAAGCGCAATAGACGTGGACCTAAACTAATTACCTTTCTCTTCTTGGAAATCTGAGCCATTGCGTCGACGTTGCGAAAGAGAGGGAACGTTACGGGTCCCCGCTGCAGTAACTAGTTATTCGCAGATTCAAAGAATTTTTCACGTGATGTTTATCACGTGATTATGGCCATGAACGACTTCCTCATCATGCGTGCCTTCGTTCAACAACACACCGGTGTCAGTCCAAACATCCAGCGATGGTGATGTGTCTCGGTAATTTTGTATGAGAAGATGTAGGCTGTTTGTCTTTTACTAACTATGACGAGGTGTTAGCACAATGCGCAGCCGTTAAAAAGGCAAAATGTGCACCAGTGAGGGACTGACAGGAATGTCATCTTGCGGTCCATCTGGTCTTCATCAATAGCAGCGGTACCGCTAACGGTCGGCTACCGGTATGTGCTGTTAGGGACCTGGCAAATGGGGATTATGAAGATTCCGATCTTTACGTAATCCAAAGACGCGGTACTGGGAGCGTGACCTAATCGCGCGTTTGCGCAGACCTCGTCGGGTTTCTCTCCTGCGCGCTGCTCGCTGCGATATCCCTTGTCACAAACAATTGAAAAAAAAAGACTTTCTACTTATTGCAAGCAAATCCACCGAAAGCGAAGGAGAGCATTCAATAGATCACTTGGCTTTTTCTGAACAACGATCGGAACGAAACGATCTTGCGACTACAACTTGTGACTTTGGACGCGCACGATGATATAGAGAAGCCTCAACGCTCACAATCCCTTCAAAATAACCCTTTCTTTCCATCAGCAACCCAAAAGGTATAAGGACAGTCATAGAGCCATGAAACGGATTCGGACAGTCGACGAGGAGTCTAGGAGCGCTTTCGTAGCCAAACAGCAGGACTCTGGATTTCCCAATGATCAGCTGAATAAACGACGGCGCACTTTGGGAATGAGTTATGGCGAGTCATCAAACGCTGGATTTGTGGAGGCCGGTGTTGTTTTGGATGTTAAGGCGACATCCGCTCTTATTTCGCATGGGAGCCCACTTTCAGGGATAGAAAACATAGCGCATGTCAGCGATCAGCAAACTGGGGGTATCGCATTACGCGCTGCCTGTGGGCAGTCGACGGAGCAGCGTTGTATTGTTATTGACGAAGTCATGCGAGCATGGGATTCGAGTTTGGATTTGTGTAAATCCACGTTTGAAGCCTGTAAGACGATTCTGGACAAGGTTACCTTCAACATAGCTGGAAATGATATCTCACAGATGGTAAAGACAATATTTTTGCATTCATAAAGCGTCATGCATCTCAATTATCGATTCTCAGGGGAGCGAGAAATTGCATGAATGGGCAGCAGCGGCGATTTGGGTGCAATCCCATGTTGAAAAATGCCAAGTATGCCCAGACGGCACCCTCTCCGAAGCATATGGGCCACCTATGCGGATATCAAGGCTCTTAGATTGCGCCCTATTGAAGAGGTAGCTATGCACCGCAAGGTTTTTTTCTTCTCATTTGTTTAACGTGTGTTCCAACATAGGAGCAACACCCCGATTCAGATAAAAGATCTGCCATCGCTTACGACCGAATTCAAGCTAGTTGTGACGGCACTTCAGCCCGATCTTCATCCTGTCTTATACCAGAGGTTGACGACCGATCTCCACGTAGCAGAAACGTTACATCAAACCATTGCTCGCGCTTTTGGCCTGTTTGATAACGTATTCAGAGGGCTGCTTCGACATACAAACTCGGAGCGGATGGGACTAGCTATGGGTGATGAGTTCTTGGATGCTGTTCATCGCTTTGCGTGGATTTTTTTCTTGGTTGGTGCTGGTACGCCGTCGATCTCAATATGAAAGATTTTGTTACCCGGAAGTATGGCTCATTGTTGCATTAGATGCACATTTCACGGTACCTTGGCCAGAAAATGACGTTGAAACGTGGTGCCTGTACTGTGTGCTTTTTGTTGCGATCCAACTCCCGGTCGATAAGCGCAGAATGATTAGGGAAGGTGGGCTGAATGTTTTCTACAAAATGTGCAGCGGGTCTCTATATTTAACGCTTGCTTCAGTTTTGACGTTTGTTGGCCTTGAAAATAGGTCATCTGTTGACCAGTGCATTGCGGGCGGTGTCCAACCGGACGCCGACTGGAGAGACTATTACACTACTGTGCGAAAATGGTTCTGTGAAAAGTACAACAAGGACACCGCTCAGTTTTTGCGACATGAGCAGGACTCAATTGAGCGGGTGCTGAATGTATGTTGTCATGCAGCGACAATTATCTATCTAACCACACATAATCATCATGACGACCGCTTTTGATTTACAACAGATGCTGATACAACACAAAACGCAGCCGTTCAAGCACGAGCAAATACGAGTTCTTAACCCGCAAATACCATGGTCCATCTACGACGGTGCTTTGGACCCTGGGCGATTATTGTACAGTAATATCGAAGATTTGAGCCGGTGGTACGATACAATATTGCTGGAGAAGCCGTATGAGTTTGATGGTAGGCTTTTCAGGCCCCTAAGTAGAACAATAGGTATGCGATTAATTGTAATCCAATCCAACTTCTCCGCCTCGGAAAGCATAAGGAGGGCAAGGTATTGGAAGTGTACTTATGCTATATTCTTCTTTAGCCACTCCACGAAGATTTTGTAGAACGCCCCGTATGTCGGTTACGAAATCCGCGAGCTCGCGGAGCTTAAAAGCCGCATTTGAGCGGGCCAGTGTTTTCAATGTATGGTTACGCCCAGCACACCATCTTCTGACGTTGCCCTTACGTCTCATCCTCTGAATCTACACTGTTTAGAATCTCATGGCAGCCACTCCCTACATGGCCCGCTCCATCTCTGGAAGAGGAACAAGAGGGGCACCAACTGAAGCCGATCGACACCAGTTACAAGAGAAGTTTGCGGGGATGTTTGCGAACGATGTGGGTGTCCTAGAACGGTTTGGATGATGAGCCCTATATTACAGACCTAACTTTCACTCTCCGCGTTCAGTCTCTAGACCAAGCCATCATTACTTGCAGACTCTTGGCCTCGTACATATCACACACGCAGATTCGTGCCATCATAAATCGAGTGGAAACTGTGACAGGTAGCCTATGAAAACCAATGCGCCGCACTTCGGACGCAGATTATTTACTCCGTGGTTATCTACCCTGACAGCAAATCTCCCACATGACCCAATCCGCGATGCAGCGTGGTCTTACGGTGTCAAGCTTTATTATCGACTCATGGAAGATTTGTTGGGTAGTCCACATGCACGAACATCAAAGGTGTGTGAAACGTACAGCCACGAACCTTCTTCAAAAACGAGGCTTATTGACCAACATCTCAATGGGACCTAGGAATTTTACCAAAAGTTGGTGGAAGATGGGCAATTCCATCGCTGCCTGCTATTTATTTCGTTGGAAATTGTTCGATACATGTACAAGGTGCAACAGCGTCTGCATGCTAATCGAGTATCCTCATTGGTTAACCCAAACCTCTGCCGAACAGTTCGACAAACCATTCACAAATGATTTAATACATCAGACGCAATGTCATGTTGTGGTGTTGGCGATGATGCTAAAGTTGGTGCAGCAAGGCGATTTTTGGGTATGTGAGAACTGCATCCAGAGCTTACACACGTACGGATGTTCATCAAAAGTTCGGGTGTAGTTGCCTGGGTGGATGAGCAAGCGACTAGTAGAGATCGAAGAGCGAGTGCTGGAGACGGAGTTGTGGAAGTGCAGAAGATTCTATCCCATGCTGCGGGCTGCGGCCGGTGAGCGGTGCGATGGTGAGTTCGGCGATACGACTATTTCTGCTCCTTCAATGAAAAAATATTTATACGCCGACGGCTTATTCCAGATGGAGCGTCACCAATGATACCGAAAACTGCGGCTTTCTACGGCTCTAAAATAAACCCCACTGAGTCGTCCGTACCAGGCGAAATCAAAGGCATTCAGGTGCGCTCAAATTGAGCACTATCCAGCGAATAGGAAGACAACTAATAGCACAGATCTTCAACAGTGTCTTTTAAGCCAAGCAACTCTTATGTCGATTGTGCGCCTGCGTCATCTTTGCACCGCACTTCACCTCTCTCCCGACACCGCACAGAAACTCCTCGAATGGGGCTTCAAGCACGAGCACAGGCATCACTTGCTTCAGAATCGCCATGTGGATGTGTACGTTATGGCATGTGTGTACGCTGCCGCAAAAATGGAGGGGAAAATTATGACCTTCAAAAGTGTGGTAGAGGGATATAGAAAGCAGCCGCAGTTTGATGAGAAGGTAAGCTTGTATTTGATGGTCCCTGTCGACATGAGCGGAATCAGATAATAATTGTATCAACCAGACGGCCACCTCCATCTATATTTCGCAATCTGAGCCTTCCGTGGACTTGATAACTTATTACAATCGTGTCTTCCTTCCGATTCTGCGAACGTATATGAACTCCATTGATGTGAGTAACTAAACAGTCAGCTTTCCATGTGCATTTCCTAAACAACAAACTCTAGACCAACTCCCGAGCTGCTCAGTCGACAACCACCACAACAGCAACCACAACCATCGCAAATGCAAGTGCACCAGTACCACCACCAGCAATAGTACCGTCTCCTTCGCACCACCGCCTATCTGCCCTGCGCCCACCGATCGACTCATCAGTCCCCACCATGACACCTCGCACACGACGCTACTGCGCAACGGAGAGCCCTTTGACAACCGGACGGGTATGTTTCAATACGTAAAGAGAACCGAGTAATATTCCTGATTTATCATTTTTGCAGAGAGATTTGGGATCAAGTAGAGGCCCCGTTACCTCCATGCGTCGTCTGTTCGGTGCCGACGGTCGTCCACCGCGACTCCCGGACTCTAGACCTCCCCGGGGTTGATGCCCTTGTGTCACAGAAGGTCATGAAAAGCATTTGGAATCCATTGATACAGGCGTCTTGACTGCGTAGAACTTCTAGTGAGAAGAAATGGTCAGTGCCGGCATAGATTTAAGTTATTATGGTGGAAGTAGGAACGGAAGGGAAATGGGAATCTGTGATCAATGTAAGTATGATTAAAGTGACAACAATGTTATGAGCAAGATCTCTGTTACAATAGTATATTATACATAAAAACAACGTGTGTCCTAGAAAGATGGTTACTTGTGGCTTCTAGCTGCTTCTTCTAGTAGTCTTGCTTGAAGTTTGCTGCCACCGCCTCCTGTAATGCATCCAAATGTCCCAAGCTGGGGGTGTTGTTGCGCCTGCATGGCCTTTTTGCGCTTTTCCCCTATGAAAGGACTTTCTGGCTCTGTCAATTTCTTGGTGGATGGTTTGACATTCAGCGGTTTCATTTTATCGTACAAAACTGGCTGCGCTTTATGAACTTGTTGCTTACGGAGGAGCCGTATTTGTTCTTTCTCGCGTTCCTATTTTACGGAGGTCAATATTCAGCCTTACTTTATCCCTGATCGTAATAGTGTCATAGGCAGACTACAGACCTCGTCATCTTTTGCCATCTCTTCCCTCATCTTTTGTTCGATAGCCTCTCTCTGTTTTCGTGACTCTTCAAACGCCCGCCTCTCCTCGGCCCTTACGTCCGTGTGCAACAGCACGTTTTCCACATCTGTAAGCGGGCGATTTGAAGGCTGTGGAATGAAAGGGTCCAAACATGGGAGAGGATTCGCCCGAAATTGCCTCATCCGCTCCTGTTCTCTTAGTTCCCGCTCTCGCTTCTCTTCGATGGTAAGACGCGCAAAGGAGCCGCGAATTTCTGTTTCAAGATTGAAGGGCTGAGGGTTGGTTATTGGGCGGTGAGGGACGGATGGAAGAGGCTTTGCATGAACATGTCAATGAATCAGGTCCAAGATTTGCAGAAACCGAGAGCGATCACCCTTCAAGACTCACATCAGGCTCATCATAAGGCAAAGGGTAGGCGCGGAACTGTTTCGCGCGCTCCTCTTCCTCTTTCTCTCGTTTGACCCGTTCCTCAAATTCAATTTTTTTTCTTCTGCTAATCTCATCCCCTGGGAGCGAGAATTCGGGTGGCACGATGACACGATGTTCGACCACAGGCTCAAACGGCTGAAAGATCTTTTTAGGAATAGGATTCGCCTTTACTATTCTCGGTGGTGAGGGTTCAGGAGCCGGTGGTGGTCGGGGTTTTGTAATAGCAGGCGACTGAGGAATGGTGGGTGCTGATTTGGGAACGGCAGGAACACCAATTGGACGGTCGGAGGCCAGGATCTTACGGTCAACAGGCTTTGCCTTGAACGGCTGGATCTTGGCCAATTCCGCCAGCTCTTGTTCTTCTCGACTCGGAACGCTAAGGATCAACAGTAGGTCAGTGTTGAAGTTTTGTATAGCTACTAAATATACATACGTATGCGTCTTCTTCCGTAGCTTTGTGAGCAAATACGGTGATCGTGGTTTGGTCATTCTTACATGCCCCCTCCAAGGAGATGACACCTACAGAGTAGATTCACCCCAGGGTTAGCCAAAACTCCATTCTTTCAAAGCGTCCGTGTGTTACCGCAGAAAAGACCTTTGCAGGTCCCGGCTTAGCCTTGAATCTCTCGGGTACATTCGCCTCGAAAGACTTCACTTTCACTGCCAACGGAACGTACGGGGATTTTGGCTGGGTCACGTCGTTTGCCAACGTTCGTAGAGTAGAATGAAAATTGAAAGGTCTGGGGACTGTCATTCCATTCATTCGCTTTATTGGCTTCTTTTTCTGAAACAGACAATGCGCGTAAGTTACTGGTTCCCTGAGATCATGAACAAGCGATGTCTTACCTGTACTCCGCCAGGAGACCGCATCCCCAACCCGTCCTTAGTTCTTAACCTTGAAGCAAAGCTAAACTCCTTTGGTACTGTAAGTCCCCTGCGTTTCTGCGTCTGATTCATTTTCTCAGCGACAGGTTTTCCTTCACGGGGTTTAGTGTCCCGTGCCTTGGTTCTTTCTGGCTTAACAGATTCATCGGCAGATGACGATGACGATGACAATCGCTGATTCGCAGATGCGAAGGGGTTTGCGAAGTTGCTAGCGCTCGTGTTTTGCTTACATTCGGGTTGAGTCAACCCAAGATTTGCCAGAAACTGGCTGGCTTTCGGTGTCGACTCTTGTACAGAAAATTCTTCGTGAAATTCGTCGTCGCCCTCGTTGTGATGATTATCTTCCGCAAATATCGTGCTTGCAGGAGTTGTGATACGTGCGTCTGCGGCCCCGCCAAAGTCAATGGCTGTTAAAATCTGATTGACATTGACTGACTGGGCTCCCCATAAAAAGAATTTCCCGGCAGTCGCTATATATTGTGATTGGGGAAACAGGTTACGTACCAAACCAACTATCAATGCCAGTTTCGCTCTCCTCTTTCAAGAAATCATGAAATTGAGGAGCGTTAAATTCATAATTTGCATCCGTATCATCGCTCCCAACCGTCCTTTGCTCGGCCGCTTCGGCAAACAGATTAGATCCTGTAGTTTCCTTCGGAAGGCGTGCGTGGATAACGGGATAAAGCGATAGGGTTTTCAGTGGACGTGGTGTGAGGGAGCTTCTACGTGGAGGTTTAGGTCGAGGCGTCATTGAGATTTTAAACGACTTTATTAAAGAGGAAGGCACCCCTTCTCCTTGGCTAGTTACAAAACGATAGAGAAAATGGGTGGAGGGGTTGATCTCGATACTCGTTTTCCTGCAGCCCCAGGAACACCTTCAAAGATCGTAGGAAACGCGGCAGGACGCGCCTTCGGACAAACCGAGTGGAAACTGCTTTCGGACTTTGCTTATGTAATCAGGCAACCCTTTGGTTGTCCCGCCGGTCCCAATTCTAGATCTGAACATCCCGAGCCGTTTTCACATCAGTCGCAATGATAATCAAGACATAGTAGCAGCTTGTGGAGAGGTATAAAAGACAAGAAACACACTATAGTACTATACAATCCCACAATTCCCTCTATTACCCCAACCGGGCATGTCCAAGATTAAACTAATAAACGCCAACATCCAAAAAAAAAAATCAATATTTCACGTTGAATCCATATCTGCCGCTGCAAAACTTCTTCAGGTCCAGTCTCGTCCTGATGCACTGTCTCGATGCATTAACACATTCCGCGCGAGCTTTGGGGGTGACATTGGGGGGAGCGGTGGGTCGTTGAATGATTGAACGGCAATGCGTGACGACGGTATGCGCGCTTCCGCACTAGCGCTAATGGCTAGGTCATCTAGCGAATGGCTTCGTGTTTTATTATTGGCGCTATGTAAAGTGACATTTAAGTTCATTAGAGGAGAAAGTATGAATCAGGTGGATTCCTCATTCTACGTACGCTTGAAAGAACCCCTTCAAGCCCCACTTTGCTGACAGCCGCGCAAAAAGCGTCTGGCTTTTGCTCTTCCCTCTTTCACTTTGTACGCTGTCAGCGTACCCACTTTGTTCCACCACTCGTTTGAGCTCAAAGAAGTTGGGCAACACCCCCGCGCTCTCTTCTGGTGTGAGGTAACATAATTGCTCTTCCAGTTCGCGTTCAATCTTGGGAAGGGATTTGCCCAGATAGATGTAAAAGTTTGCTGTATCTACTAGGTCCCCCGAGAGTGTTCGGGGGTATTTTAGGTTTGCGGAGCGGGGGCTCTCGGGACCTTTTAGTGATGGCATTGATCGGGAGAGTGCTTTGTTGATATTTGTGGAAGTGGCGTTCGATGACAATAAGTGTCCTGATCTGGTTACTTCTACGTCTTCCAGCTGTGCGTGACAATGGAAGAATAGCATTAGCACCATTCAATCTGGCTATTTTCCATGCTAAAATGGTCACACTAACCACATCCCGGGCGCTCTCGTCCTGGTCAAATTTCTCATCCAACGATGCAAATGTCAGGAAATCTTTGATCTTTTCACGATTTTCTCGTAGAAAGTGATTCAAGGCCATAAGATACTGCTCTTTGTTGCCAAAATCCACATCATTGCACATGGCTGTCAAAATCTTGCCACATAGTACGAGACCACGGCGTGCGGAAGGTGAGATTTTGCCTTCAACTAGACCGTAAGTATCCGGGGCCGTGATTGCTACAAAGCGAACCCTTGGTATGAACAAGAATTTAAATGGCAGCTGCATCGAAGATGTCACTTTACCTGGCACAAAAAATCGGAGGAAGAGGAAAGATCCCACGACCTTCTCAGATACAGATAGATATCCCACTGACTTTGCACTTGCAAAAGAACCTCTGCTCGCGGCCGGGAGCTTCGGAACGAAGGCGCGTTCGGAAAGACCTCTTGATCGAAATACCTCTGATCCTGAGGTGTCTTGCCTTGGTCGAAATACCTCCGATCCTGAGGTGTCAGTCCCTAGTGATGGATGCGAATCCTTCCGTCCATTCGGCCATGAATTCATTGATTCTGGACTTTTTATTCGACCTTGAGATTGCCGCTTTTCGAAACTACCAAGTTCCTGCCCGGTACTGCCGCTTCTGACATGAGACTTACTGGTGGACCTTTTGTTAGACTGGGATGGGCGCCGGGACGTAGGAGAGGAGTGGAGAAGCTCCACACTTCCTGTCCTTCGCATAGGGCCTGTGAAATCCTCCTCCCCTTCCTTGGTGCTCGCGCTACTCGTTGATCCACGATGTTTTCTTCGACCGAAAAGGCGGAATCCTTCACCTTTTGATGGAAGTGGATTCATGTCATCTTTTAATGACTGACTTCGAGTGAAGGACTGAGAACGCCGTGTTTCTGTCGGGCCAAGTTTTTCTGCTGAATCAGTTAGTATCGCCGAGCGCTCCTTTGGCGGTTTGTCCTTCAACGAATCGCGCGACTCTGACCGAGAGGTCATAATCGTCCCGCCTTCCGCCAAATGTGAACCACCCACTGGCTCTGCCATTTCCGCTTTCGAACCACCCTGTCTGACCGTAAATGTCGGTGTCCACCCCCCCTCGTATATCTCATCCACCGTGGCTCGCAGAAAATGGCACATCCTCTTTAGCGTCACTGGCATCTGTTCCTTTTTCTCCACGATGGATGTGAGGAGCCGTGAGCAGGCGCTTTTGAGTCGGGATTCATTCTCCGCTAACAGTTCTTGGACAGTGAATTGATCCATGTCTGGCGGAAACTTTTGAGGATCAATTTCGCACCCGTCAATGAAGGGGAGGATGTCACGAAGCGGTTCTGTGAGAGATTGACCGAGGTAGTGTAGACCTTCGTACCGAGCGAATGCATTGAGGAGCATGGTGGCCATACTGGATAAATACATATTTAGTTATAAGCACCGATGGCAAAAGGCTCCTATAGCGAACTACCTGTTATCTCGTATTATATCGCTCAAATCTCTGCTCTTGATCACTGAACGCGGAGATAGTCTTAATGCCTGCAAGCGGCTTCAAATATCTTTTTGTTCAGGCATTTACTTACAATACCCCTGTATTCGTGACCGCAGCAATCTCTTCAAGAATGCCTCTGTTCCTCTCTCGCGCTGTCTTCTCAACAATGACAATACGCCCAACGACACGCTTGCAGCTGTATCTCCCACAAAGGTAGCCTGACATATCAATGCGAGGAGGTTGGCGTTATTGGCGAGGAGAAGGTCGGCTATACGTTGATCAGCCGACACGGCCTATGTGAGAATGCCAGGAATCAGATGTGCGTGCAGATCGGTTGAGCATTAGTGATATTCTACCGTCTTGTCCGACAGATTTTCCAGACTCCTACTTCCAAGCTTTGACCGCCCCGTTGTTCCCCCCTTGTGACGCATTCACGGAATTATCGCACGCTGACGGAGGGAATGGAGGACGAAAGCGGAACCTGTCCAGCGACAATGAGCCTGTGTGCAGTTGCCTGATCGTCAGCTTATTGTCGAGATTGCACAGGAAAGTCTGTCATGAACTAGCAAGCTTCTTTTTCGCTAAATGGAAACCTGGATGTACGTTCTCAAAGCTAATGCGTCGTAGTATTTGGATTTTCGGATTAAAGTTGCCAAACAGAACTACTGTTATTGTGTGGACAAGCTGCTCTTATTGTCGAAACTGAGATGCGCGAACGGCTCTTCAGATTACTGCATCCGCTATTAAGCTATTCATAGAAACCTTGGATGAGGGTCATTCATTTTTGATTCACTGAGTATAATGGGATCCGATCGTAGTCCCCACTGCATAATATAAGTAGCACCGCCAGGCTCCCAAGGGGCGACAGTAAAACTGGATGTTGCTGGAAACGGGATCCGGAGTGATACCATTGGAGATGATAAACCACGGAGGGACATATCCCGGTGCATGGTAGTGCATATCACGAGCACATATCAGGATCAGGATTCCATAGGTCGGTCGCATTAGTGTCCAAATGTTTGACCTAGAACCATGTAAACGAACGCTTTTTCTGTTGGGTTAACTCTCCATCTCGAGCATCGACCGTTTGCATAGAATCATAGAATCCATGAGACCGTCAAAGTTCAAAGTCGTTATCAACACTTCTAAAGTTGATGATTGACTTTGATGTAAAATGGCCTGCTCCAGTTCGTTGAGCAGGATAGAATGTCCGCTAGCATATTTCCATGGGCAGCGGACAAACAAAAACCACAGAATATCGATGGAAAGGGCGAGTTTTAGAGGTCACTCGGTCTCCTTGTGCGTTAAAACACTGGATTTGATGCAGGACGCGCCGTCAAAACCCAGCAGAACAACACTGCATGCTCCTTGATGGATTTTCGCAATTTATCTACCAACCCCTTTCCCATCTCTTACAACCACGGATATTTTGCAGCTGTGCTCTCAAGGCTGCAGCTATGACCACTTCTTCACCTCTACGAAGATCTACCCGACTTGTAGTGCAGCAAGTAACAACCAAGACGATGCAGTCTGTGGCCCCGGAGACAGCAGAGGTTAAAGGTGAACGACGACGAGTTGCATCAAAGGCAGTGTCCTACAAAATTGAGGAAGTAGACGACGTGGAAGAAAGAACTGGTGCCCCCGAGACCGGCACCGAGCAAAAGAGATGGCCAAAGCAGGAGAACAACAAAAATGGGCAGGAAGACAAGCCATTGAAGCGGCGAAGGAAGAGGGCGGAGGCGGTAGATGCTATAGATGGCGATGAGGTGAAAATGCCAGATGATGATCTAAAGACGAAGCGTCAAAAGCACCGAAACAAGGGTATCAGTGATGACAAAGATATGGTAGCATCAGGTGAACCAACGGAAGCAGAGAAGGAGAAACCAGCGAAACGCCGAGTCACAAAAGCAAAGAGTACGGCAAATGAAGAGGATGAGAAAAGCATCAAAAAGCCCAAAAAGCCAAAGGTGGAAAAGACCATTGAAATTCCTGACATGGATACCGAATATATGTGGGCCCGTGCCAAAGCATGCAAAAAGTACGTCGGTGCGCATGTGAGTGCCGCCGGTGGAAGTCATAATGCGGTTATCACCAGTACCAAAATAGGGTATGAGCGCTCCCTTTATTTCCACAGAACCTTGTTAATATCTTTGTATCAGTGGTACATGTTTTGCGCTCTTTGTCAAAAACCAACGCAGATGGGAATCCCCACCAACTCCTGGCTCACAAGTGGAAGCGTTCGCCAAAGCTTGCCCTCTGGCTGGCTTCTGTCCCAAGACACATGTCCTACCACATGGGTCTTATTTAGTTAATCTGGCGAACTATGAGGATGAAAGGGCCACGCAAGCTTTCAATGGCTTTGTGGACGAATTGAAACGATGCGAAGAGCTTGGGATCGGATTATACAACTTCCAGTTGAGTATCGTTGAGGCAGTGATTTTAAGAATATTGACATCTTAGCCCTAATGG